CGGAACACCTACCCTAAACCCTGAAACCCCATAAGTCCCCCCACCCTTCGCCACCCCGAAACCTTGATCCTAAACCCTAAACCCTAAAAACCCTAAAAACCCTAAAAACCCTAAAAACCCTAAAAACCCTAAAAACCCTAAACCCTAAACCCTAAACCCTAAACCCTAAACCCTAAACCTTGATTAGGCCCAAAACCCATGGCCATGAAGTGCACGTCCCAAAACCTCGCCCAAAAACTAGCCCGAAACCTGCAGCTCGCAAAAGTCCGCAACCCCCTCAAGAAAACTTTAAACCCTAAATAAACCCTAAACCATAAACCCTACACCCTAAACCCCAAACCCTAAACCCTAAACCTGAAGCCCTAAACCCTAAACCCTAAGCCCCAAACCCTAAACCCTCAAGACAAAATACATAGAAATTGTATGTGGTATCATTCTGAAGTTCCCAAGGTATTGGTCTAAACAGCTGACAGGCCGAGTTTAAGTATATTATTCCAAAACACACATCTGGGAGGCCAAATGCTCAATTTGCTTAAATCTCTCGGGGCTTCTCCCCCCCCCCCAGACCCCCCTCCCGCTCAGCTCCTTTCCTCCCGGCCGCCGCCCTCCTCCCAGCTTCCTCTCCACCCCTTCGTCCCCCTCGCCTTCCCCCCCAATCCTCCCAAAATAATTCTAATACTAGGTTCAGAAACAAACGTTTCGCGCAAAACGTTTCGCTCAAAGCTTTCGCTCAAAACTTTTTGGGACCCAAACCCTATACAATTTGAATAAACCCTAGACCCTAGACCCTAAACCCCAAACCCTAAACCATAAACCCTAGTGCAGCCCTCACAGGACATCCTGGGGTACTATATCTCTTTCCTCAAGTCCCTGGCGCTCCGGCTGAACTTCGAGCGCCTCGCCTGGGCCATGAGGTTGGTTGGTTTCTGCTGTTTTTTGGGGTTTACGGTGTGGGGTTTAGGGCTTCGGGCTTTCCAGGTGTAGGGTTTAGGGTTTAGCGTTTAGGTTTTAGGGTTTAGGGTTTAGAGATTAGGTAGAGTTTTAAGGTTTAGGGTCTCGGTTTCAGTTGGGGTTTAGGGTTTTGTGGTCACGAACTGCGGGGTTGGGGTTAGGGGCATAGGACTATTTGGTGGTTTGCGAAATTGGGGGGGGGGGGGGGGGGGGGGGGTGGGGGGGGGGTTAGTGTCCTTATTACAAGGGGATCCTACTACTTGGGGCTCTATTGGGGGTCCCTTATTCTCGTAAACCCCCATTTGAGGACCATCAAGTTCTTCTTCAACGAGCACTCCCAGCAGTTTCCGCTCTACACCGAGGCGATCCGGTTCTTCGGCCACCAGGACGCGAAGGTCTCAAAACCTGAGCCGAGGTAGTTGCGGATACGATCTGATCCCCCAATAAGGGTTTAGGGTTTAGGGTTTAGGGTTTACGGGAAAAAGGGGCAAGCTAAGAAACATGAGTCCCGCTCCCTAGCAGCCAGCCTCGGCCCCGCAAAAGCCTAGGTTCCGCACTCGTAGACCCAACAACCCTAAACCCTAAACCCTAAACCCTAGACCCTAGACCCTAAACCCTAAACCCTAAACCCTAAACCCTGAACCCTAAACCCTAAACCCTAAAGGTTCCGCACTTCTAGACCCAACAACCCAAAGCCCGACAACCCGTCACATCTGAACCCCGGACCCTGGGCCGCAACATAATTGACTGCCAAACCCAAGCCCTTAAACCCTAAACCCTAAACCCTAAACCCTAAACCCTAAACCCTAAACCCTAAACCCTAAACCCTAAACCCTAAACCCTAAACCCTAAACCCAAAACCCTAAACCCTAAACCCTAAACCCTAAACCCTAAACCCTAAACCCTAAACCCTAAACCCAAAACACTAAACCCTAAACCCTAAACCCTAAACCCTAAACCCTAAACCCTAAACCCCAAACCCTAAACCCTAAAGAAGCTTCGGAGGACCCCATGGTCCGCACGGCGGTTCGAAACCTGACACTGCAAGTGCCTTCCGGCTGCGGTTTGCAAGCAAACCTTGCGATTTCCCCCTTATACTAACAGTCCTTAACAGGGAGTTTAGGGTTTAGGGTTTAGGGTTTAGGGTTTAGGGTTTAATGTTTAAAGGGTTTAGGGTTTAGGGTTTAGGGGAATATAATTGGGGGGGGGGGGGGGGTACCATAATCCCAAGTAAGGATTGTTAGCATAAGGGGGAACATCACAGAGCAAACCCCCAAAAAAAACTACGCCCTAAAAATTCCGAACCCCAAACTCAAGGTTTAGGGTTTAGGGCCCAGCGTTTAGGGTTTCGGGTTTAGGTGTAGAGTTTAGGGTTTAGGTTTTTTTTTTTTGGGGTTTAGGGTCCGAACCCGACACCCTGAGCACTAAAGCCTAAGCAACGCCCTAAACAACCCTACGTAAGCCCTGAACCCTAAACCCCTAAACCCTAAGCCAAAATCCTGAAGCCCAAGCCCCAAAGCCTCGGACCTGAGGTACAGGGTGGACGACGCGGCCATGCGTGCGTTTATCTTGGATCGATCACAGGCCTACTTCGTGCCTGGGCCAGAGAACGTTAAGGGGTCTAATCAGGGACCCCCCAGGAGGGACCTTTAGTCTTATTCCCCAATATAACCCCTTTAGGGTTTAGGGTTTAGGGTTTAGGGTTTAGGGTTTAGGGTTAAGGGTTAAGGGTTAAGGGTTAAGGGTTTAGGGGACCCTTAGTCTAATTCCCCAATATGCTAGGATGCCCAGTAGTACCCTTATTCCCTTTTTTGGGGATTTAGGTTCCCTTATAAACCCCTTTAAGCAAAAAAGGGCACCCTTTTTAAGCCTAGGTTACTGGGCAGCCTAGTATAACCCCTTTAGGGTTTAGGGTTTAGGGTTAAGGGTTTAGGGTTTAGGGTTTCGGGTTTCGGGTTTAGGGTACCTCATATCGTCCCTATATACCTAGTAGCGCATGAAGAACCCCTAAACAACCCCTAGGTTCCCTTAGAAGGGTCCCTCCTTTAGTCCCCCGAACCCTCAACTCCAACCTTGAACCCTGCAAGCCTCAAGATCCTAAACCCTCAACCCGAAACCCCTAAACCCCTAAACCCCTAAACCCCTAAACCCCTAAACCCTAAACCCTAAACCCTAAACCCTAAACCCTAAACCCTAAACCCGAAACCCTAAACCCCTAAACCCCTAAACCCTAAACCCCTAACCCCTAAACCCTAAACCCTAAACCCTAAACCCTAAACCCTAAACCCTAAACCCTAAACCCTAAACCCTAAACCCTAAACCCTAAACCCTAAACCCTAAGGAGCAGCTGGCGGGCCACCTCCGCAGCCTCTGGGCCCGGCTCGACAGCGCGGAGGCGAGCTCCGCGCTGCGGCTCGGCTTGCGGTTTGGGGTTTGGGGTTTGGGGTTTAGGGTTTAGGGTTTGGGGTTTAGGGTTTGGGGTTTAGGGTTTAGGGTTTGGGCTTTGGGGTTTGGGGTTTAGGGTTTAGGGTTTAGGGTTTAGGGTTTGGGGTTTAGGGTTTAGGGTTTAGGGTTTGGGGTTTAGGGTTTGGGGTTTGGGGTTTGGGGTTTGGGGTTTAGGGTTTAGGGTTTGGGGTTTGGGGTTCAGGGTTTAGGGATTCGGGTTTAAGGTTTGGGGTGTAGGGTTTAGGGTTTAGGGAAGTTGCTACATTTGGGAGCTTATATGGCTGAGGGCTCAGCGTCACAAGTACATGTCAGGGGGGGGTGACGTTTGGGGTTTTGTGTTCAGCGTTTGGGGGCTCAGAAATTTGGGTTTTTGGGCTGAACACCTCCAGTTGAGAAATTCGTGGGGCCATTGAGGGTGCATAAGTTTCAGGGTTCTAGGGGGCATTTCGGGGTTTAGGGCTGGATTCCAGGTTTGGGGTTTTACTTCCCGCGCTATGTATTCCACAGTGTGACTGGCGCTATTTAGGGGCTTACAAAAATAAGGGCACCCGCCCCCAGAGAAACCCACCCTAAAATTCGTAAAGTAGTCTTTCAGCCAAGGCACGTGTACGAAATATTGCGAAAACTGTGGCATGGGCGACGAATTTTCGGGTAGGGGAGCAAGACTTGGGATGGGAAGTGCAAGAAACATGTGCACAAAGAGGGTCTCTGCGCAGGACCCCTTTTGTTGTCTCTTCTCGCCCCGTGAGAGTCAGGAAATGGGCCAGCGAGTGACTTCTGCCGCTGCAGCCCACTGTGCTTCTTCGAGAAGCCAGTGGTGCATGGATGCTCTGGCCACCCGCAGGGCATGGATGCTCTGGTAACACGGACGTAATCATCGTGCGGGCATGGAGGCTCTGGCCACTCGCAAGCGCTGGAAACACGGAAAGCCGTCACATGCAGAAGCGATACTGGCATAGACGGTGGGTTTTTCTGGGGGCGGGTACCAAAAATAAGGGACCCCGAATATAGACCCCCAAATTGTAGGATTCCCTTATACAATAAGGAGCCCCAAGAAGGTACCCTTCATTTCTTACACACACACACACACCATATCTCTGCAGCTTTGTGTGAAGGGAAAGCGTTCTCGAGGGGGTGGTGGCTGTAGTTCAATTTTCAGAGCCGCCATGGCGACTGGCTTGTCTGCAGTTAAACTGGAGAAGGCCATTATGAACCTCGAGGCGCGATTGCGCGAGGAGTTCCGACAGGACCTCGCGCGCCAGGTGTCAAAGCAGATGCAGCCCTATGTCCAGCAGATGAAACTTCTCACGTCCCAAGTCAAGGGGCTTGCCGGAGATTTGGCGCAGTCCAAGTCGATGCCTTGTCACAACATGGAGCTTGAGCGTGCGGCCGATGAGGCCGACGGGCAAGGATTTGTTCAAGTCGACATCGACAAGTGGATGCAGGGCCAGGCCCATGTGGACCTGGGTCAGGCGCAGCCGATCGTTTCAATCGGACTTGGTGACCTGTTCTCTGCAGAGAAAGGTGCTTCCCAGTCCGTCGGACCGGAGGCGGGTGGGGCCGGTGGAGTGCACGAGGTGGTGCGCGAGGTGGCGCGGGCCGCCATGGAGCATCATCAGGCGACCCTGGAGAAGTTGGAGATGCTTGAGGAGGGCGGGAAGCCGGGCGGAGAGAAGTATCTCAAAGAGAGCTCCCAGGCCTCTTTGATGGACGATGTCGTGGAGGAGCCCGTGGCTTTCCTCGAGACGGCCTGGAACCTGGTCCTTGTCTTGGGCCACACCGACTGTGGCTTGCTGGACCTGGCGATCGCCTGCTTTCTCTGGCTCGCCAGCGGTTTGATGCAAATCTCCTTCTTCGTCATCCTTCTCTCGGAAGCTTAGGTAGTAGAGTAGGTAAACCTCTAACCTTTTTGGGGGTATTCGAAGCCCTATACAATCCCAAAGCTTCACCTTTTCATTCCCTCAGGTTACTGGACAACCAAGGAAGATTTTCTTGGAGAGCCCTTTGGGAAACAGGTGGAGGTGGCGAAAGCATGGCGCGAGTCCATCGCGCACGACTTCAAGCACATGGACCTTGGTGACGAGAGCCTCGTGTCCCGCGTGTGCCGCGCCGACCGCACGCTGATTCTGTCGACCCCACAGATGCTTGGCGGGTTCAAAGCCCCTAAGCCCTAAATCCTTAAACCCTAAACCCTAAACCCTAAATCCTAAAACCCTAAACCCTAAACCCTAAGCCCTAAACCCTAAACCCTAAACCCTAAACCCTAAACCCTAAACCCTAAGCCCTAAACCCTAAACCCTAAACCCTAAGGATGCAGATGCTGGACCAGATCAATGCCTTCATCGGCCTGGGCACCGCCGATTTCGAGGCGCCCTACTTCCAACCAGGCGTTCTCCTCTGCATGATGTGCATCCTGCTTTGGTGCTTGTACCCTTGAATTACTTGGAAAGTATTTTTTTGGGGGGTAGTCTTTGGCTACGAAAATCCCGAAGGAACAGCCAGAATGTTTTTTTTTCGCTAGGGTGCCAAAGGGGTACTTGGAAATACTTTTATATGTTTGGGTTACTACAATCCCCAAGGAACAGCACAATTGTAGTTTTTTGCAAGGGTGCCCCAAGTTCGGTATAGCTAAACCCTAAACCCTAAACCCTAAACCCTAAACCCTAAACCCTAAACCCTAAACCCTAAACCCTAAACCCTAAACCCTAAGCCCTAAACCCTAAACCCTAAACCCTAAACCCTAAACCCTAAAGCCTAAACCCTAAAGCATAGGTACCTCCTCAACGAGTTCCGACTCGTGGTCTTCTCCCTGGAGGCCGTCTCCCAACTCCCCCGGGGGCCTCGCACCTTGTGGCGAAGGCGCGGAAGCTTCCAGACGATCCTCGGTCGGCTGTTGGGAGATTCTATCCATTTTTCCTTAAAATTGTGTTTATAAGGGACACGATATATATATATATATATATATATGTATATATGTATATATTTATATATGTATATATGTATCTATATATATAAATACCATATGTATGTATACACATATGTATATATATATATATATATATATACAATTTTTTCAATGGGTCTTAAAGGCCAACCCAGGATCTCCTATGGCCGCTTTGCCGTCTACTGCCTCATGCGCCTGTCGCGCTTCTTCATCGCCGTGGGCCTCCTCTACGCGGGCGTGCAGTGGCTGGCCGGCACGATCTCCATCACCGAGCCTTAGTAGCTGAAGGGTTTAGGGTTTAGGGTTTAGGGTTCAGGGTGTAGGATTTCTTAGTAGCTGAATGAGTGCACTTTACACGTTCTTTTGGGATACGATCATTTTCCTTAGAACGCAAAGAGCTAAGGAGCTCATCCTGAATGCGGTGGCCTTGTCCGCCGTCTTGCAGATCGACGAGATGGTCTTCGCGGCGCTGATGCCGAAGAAGATCCAGATCTGCATCCAAGACCTAGAGGCCATTAAGGTGCGGTACAGCAAAGGGCGAAGTCAGACGGAGTCCCTCATCCTCGTCGTGGCGATTTCGCTTCTCATGCTGTGGCCGTGGACACACAATGTAGGGCCACTGAGCTGGGACATGATTGAAGTCAAACGCCAGTACTGTGGGGGCACTCAGAACTTCGTGGTGGCGGACAATCAAGTCCAGGGGATCACGGTGGGACTGGTGACCTCGGATTATGCCTCCGCCCAAAGCGACCACCACCTCAACCAGACTTCCCTCATCCGCTTCGCAGTGAGCCGGCACATTTGGCAGGAGCCACTCGGAACTTCGAACTACATCCGATTCGGCAAGGATCGATCCGACTTTGTGACTGCCAGAGACATGACGATGTATACACGCAACTTCCATGACAGCCTCTGCATTGACTTTGACGAGATCTTTCTGGGCAATGCTACCCATGAGCTTCAGGAGTTCTACCGCCCATACTTCTACTCGGCCAGCTTCGGATCAGGACTCCTGGACCCAGAGTAAACCCTTATCCACTTTTTTTTTTTTTTTTTGGGGGGGGGGGGGTCGGTTTAGGTTCCCTTTTTAAGCTCTTTAGCCCAAAGAGGGCGCCCGGTTTTACTCCTAGGTAGCTCTTGAGCCTAGGATTTCCAGATGGGGCCAGCTGCGCGGAGATGGCGCACCTCTGCCACTCCCTCGTCCCCGAGGGGCGCCTCGTGCGGCACGTGTGCCCACGCACGTGCGGATGCCACCAGCAGCTAGCCCAGTGGTCCCCTATTTTCTCTTTTTTTGGGGTTCAGGGTTCCCTTAGAAAGTAACCAACCCCCCCAAAAAGAAAGGGTGCCCTCGTTATGGTAGCCATAAACCCTAAAGCCTAAACCCTAAACCCCAAACCCCAAACCTCAAACCCCAAACCCCAAACCCCAAACCCCAAACCCTAAACCCTAAACCCTAAACTGAACCCTGAATATGGTTACTGGGCTACCAAGGCAGCACGCAAATCCGACGCTGAAGGTTCTGGGTGAGGGATGCTCGAAGACTTGCTTCTCTGAGCAACTAGGCAGGCCCTCGTGATCTCTTCTATTTTCCCTTACTTAGGGACTAGGGTTTAGGGTTTAGGGTTTAGGGCTTAGGGTTGAGGGTTTAGGGTTTAGGGTATCAGGGCCTTCCGAGGCAAGACACCGCGATGCGCTTTACGGCCTGCAAGGACGTGGACCTGGAAGCTTGGTCGCCCAGTGGTACCCTTTACCCTTCTTTTTTTGGATTATAGGTTTAGGGTTTAGGGTTTAGGGTTTAGGGTTTAGGGGTTAGGGGTTCCCTTATGAAGTAGCCAACCCCAAAAAGGGTGCCCTTCTCAAAATAGGGTTACGGGGCTACTAAGGAAGAGACGCCCCACCTCCGGGAGGAATGGGAGGCGTTCTGGGACGCTTTGCAGAGCTTAAGTTACTATAACAGGGTTATGGAAGGCGTTCTGGGGCACTTTGCAGGGCTTGAGTTACTATAACAGGGATCCTTTTAAAGCAAATGATGTAGTATCCTTACTTTGGTAGCTCACTTAACTAAGGCAACTAAGGTAGGACCTCGGCACATGTGTATTTCCCCTTCTTTGGCGTTCAAGAGGATCATATGTCTGAATATTACTCAGAGGGCTTTTCGAAGCGCCAACCTAGGACAGCTACATGCCGATGGTGGAGCAGAGGGTGGGAGTCAACTTCAGCAATCCCTCTTTGAGCTTCCTTCCGGAGTTCCTGGCCCACGTCAAGAACGTCGGTTGCCCGGGCCTAAGCTTGGTGCCTGGGCAGCCCTCGTTTTAGGGTTCAAGGTTCCCTTATACAGTAACCAACCCCAAAAACGGGTGCCCTTATTATAGTAGCCTTATAGTAGCCCTAAACCGTAAACCCTAAACCCTAAACCCTAAACCCCAAACCCCAAACCCCAAACCCCAAACCCTAAGCCCCAAACCCTAAACCCTAAACCCTAAACCCTAAACCCTAAACCCTAAACCCTAAACCCTAAACCCTAAACCCTAAACCCTAAACCCTAAACCCCCCGAAAAGGTTACTCTGAGACGGCTAGCAGCTAGCAAGGTGCCCATGGACCCCGTCACACGCAGCCCGTGGTGTTCAGGCAGCTTGCTGTTCTACAGCCCCCTTGCGACTCCGGAGCTGAGTACACTTTACACTTTTTGGGATACCATAATCCCCTATAGAACCCTAGACCCTAGACCCTAGACCCTAGACCCTAGACCCGAGACCCTAAACCCTAAACCCTAAACCCTAAACCCTAAACCCTAAACCGAACTCAGCAACTAAGGCGACCTGGTGCCCGCAGACCTGCGGCTGCCACACCTCCGCCACGCTGCCGGAATGGTGCCCACGAAGCTGCGAGGGGTGCAAGGATACACTGGGGTTTAGGGTTTATGTTTAGGGTTTAGGGTTCAGGGTTTAGGGTTTAGGGTTTAGGGTTCAGGGTTCAGGGTTCAGGGTGCAAGGTTCAGGGTTTAGGGTTTAGGGTTTAGGGTTTAGGGGTGCAAGGATACAGCGATCTTCCCGGCCGACCTCCCTGTCAGTGACTGTGCACAAGCTCATCAACTGGGCTTTTGTGGGGTGTTTCCAGTGGAAGCCGCTGTGCTTTGCGCCGCCACCTGCGACGCTTGCTCAGCCCTGCACAACAACGGCACGATTGTGTGAGAGGCTAAACCCTAAACCCTAAACCCTAAACCCTAAACCCTAAACCCTAAACCCTAAACCCTAAACCCTAAACCCTAAACCCTAAACCCTAAACCCTAAACCCTAAAGCCTAAACCCTAAACCCTAAACCCTAAACCCTAAACCCTAAACCCTAAACCCTAAACCCTAAACCCCAAACCCTAAACCCCAAACCCTAAACCCTAAATGGCTCCCAAGATGCTGTCTTCCTAATGGGAGCCCACAGGGGATTTGGATGCCCAAGGCTTCCAAGAACTTTCCGCCATGGGGCCCGCAGGGGGCCCGTGAATAAGCCAGAGCCACATACTGCCTCACTCTCCCAACTCCGAGGTTAACTTCATGTCTTCTTAGGGTTTAGGGGCTTTAGGGGTTTAGGGTTTAGGATTTAGGGGTTTAGGGTTTAGGGTTAGGGGTTTACGAGTTATGGTTTGGGGTTCAGGGTTTCGGGCATGACTCGAAGGTTTGAGCGCCCATGCGTTCCTTGGATCTTGTGGAAGAGAACCCTAAACCCTAAGCCCTAAACCCTGAACCCTGAACCCTGAACCCTAAACCCTAAACCCTAAACCCTAAACCCTAAACCCTAAACCCTCGTTGGATCTTGGGGGAGAAAAGGCTCCGTCGAATGTGGACCTGGGGCTTGCCGGCCCCCGGGGTTGGAACTGCCAGGTTTTGCGGCGGAGGCCTCTGGGACAGTAGTTGGCATCCCCTTAGGCTCCAAGTAGCCTCAATGTAGGGTTTAGGGTTTAGGGTTTAGGGTTTCGGGATGATTTTGCAGACTTTAGGACCCCCCCAAAGGAGGTGAGAGTTGTGTACTTAGAGCCTTAAGGGTTATGACCGAATTAAATTCCTCAGTCCGTTCACGGGCCGCGGACCTGCAAAATGCTGCCGGGCTGTGAGCGCATGACTTTCCTTACTGTTGGTCAGCAGGGAATGGGGACATGAGGTACCCCTATACAATCCCTTAAAGGGTATACGGTATATGGGGCCCTAATTCCCTCATTCCCTACGAACCAACAGTAAGTTTCAAGCATTTTCCAAGCCATCAGGGCTTTTACGAGACCCCTGGCTTTCAGAGATGAACCATGCCGAGGCCCATGCGAAACTGCAAAATCCCTGTGTCGCTGGACACTGCAACCCTAAACCCTTCACCCTAAACCCTAAACCCTAAACCCAAAACCTTAAGTTGCCTAAACCCTAAACCCTAAGTTGCCCAAACCCTAAACCCTAAGTTGCCTAAACCCTAAACCCTAAGTTGCCTAAACCCTAAACCCTAAGCTGCCTAAACCCTAAACCCTAAGCTGCCTAAACCCTAAACCCTAAGCTGCCTAAACCCTAAACCCTAAGTTGCCCAAACCCTAAACCCTAAGCTGCCTAAACCCTAAACCCTAAGCTGCCTAAACCCTAAACCCTAAGCTGCCTAAACCCTAAACCCTAAGCTGCCTAAACCCTAAACCCTAAGCTGCCTAAACCCTTAACCCTACGAAGATGCTCTGGACCCCACCAGAGCCCGTGTGGGGCTACCTTCAAGGCCCTACAAATCCAAAACCCCAGACACGACTTGGAGGTTCGTGGTAAAGTATAACTGTACTTCTGGGGTTTAGGGTTTAGGGTTTAGGGTTTAGGGTTTCGCGTTTGGGGTAATTGTACTTATTAACCCGATTAGGGTACTTAAGAGGCTTATATGTGGGTTATAGCTACACTTATACTAGTATTGGGTTACTAAGTACCCTGAACCTCCAAGTATGTCTCCTTCTGCCAAGGCAGGATGCGAACGAGCAGCAGCAGGACTTGCGGGTTTAGGGAACTTGGAGGTCTTGGCTTTGGGTTTTCGGGTTTGGGGTTTCGGGGCTATGGGTTTAGGGTTTAGGGTTTAGGGTTTAGGGTTTAGGGTTTAGGGTTTAGGGTTTAGGGTTTAGGGTTTAGGGATTGCAGCTTCAGGATAGCCCCAATCCCGCGCTCTTCTGGGGCTTAGGGCCTCGTGTTCCTCCATGTGTTTCTGATAACGCTCCTTCGAATATCTCTCTGGAACAGAATGTCTTGAACCCGGAGCCGGGCGACCCCCCAAACCCTAAACCCCAAACCCCAAACCCCAAAACCCCAAAACCCCAAAACCCTAAACCCCTAAACCCCTAAACCCCTAAACCCCTAAACCCCTAAACCCCTAAACCCCTAAACCCCTAAACCCCTAAACCCCTAACCCCCCTAAACCCCTAACCCCCCTAAACCCCTAAACCCCTAAACCCCTAAACCCCTAAACCCCTAAACCCCTAAACCCCTAAAAACCCCTAAACCCCTAAACCCTTAAACCCCTAAACCCCTAAACCCCCCCTAAACCCCTAAGCCCCTAAACCCCTAAACCCCTAAACCCCTAACCCCTAAACCCCCAAGCCCAAACCCAAATCCTAAACCATTAAACCCTAAGCCCGAAACCCCCAAGCCCCTGTAACCTCAAGTTATTCAAAAGTTTAAAACGAAACTCCTCGAAACTCCCCGAAACTTCTGAACCGTCAGTAATTTCAAGAAACCCCTGAACCCTAAACCCTAAACCCTAAACCCTAAATCCCAAACCCTAAGCCCTAAACCCTAAACCCTAAACCCTAAACCCTAAACCCTAAACCCTAAACCCTAAACCCTAAACCCCTAAACCATAAACCCTAAACCCTAAACCCTAAACCCTAAACCCTAAACCCTAAACCCTAAACCCTAAACCCTAAACCCTAAACCCTAAACCTTACCCCCTAAACCCTAAAAACCTTGAGGACCTCGTCATGTACGTGAGCGACTTGTTGAGCTTAGACATCGCCGAGCTGAACGAGTCGCTTGCGGCTCGGCTCTGGTCGGAGGGTCGGCGACGGTTTAGGGTTTAGGGTTTAGGGTTTAGGGTTTAGGGTTTGGGGTTTAGGGTTTAGGGTTTAGGGCTTCGGGCTTCGGGTTTAGGGCTTAGGGTTTAGGGTTTAGGGTTGCTGTCGCGTGGCGCAGATGCTTCATCGTGTGTGCTACCGCGGGTGTAGGATGTAGGATGCTAGGGCTTGTGCCATCAAGGTCGAGGGGCTTAAGCTCCGCCTCCCATTGAAGGGGGGGGGGGGGCGGCCCAGGGTGTGCGTTTAGGGGTTAGGGAGGGTCTAGGGTGCGGGGTTTAGGGGTTTAGGGGTTTAGGGTTTAGGGTTTAGGGTTTAGGGTTTAAGGAGCCACAACCCTGACATTAGAAGAGTACTGGCGTCAGGGCTCTTAGCAGGAATTGGAGAGTCTGGGGCCCTGGCCATGTAGGGAGGTGTTCCAAACCCTAAGCCCCTAGAGCCTGGGCCTAAACCCGAAACCCAAAACCCTACACCCAGAACCCCTAAACTTACACCCCTACACCCTAAACCTCAACCCTAAAAGCCCAAACCTGGGAAGTCAGAGCAACAGGGGGGGTGGGGGGCTACGAGGGCTCAGAAGGTTCTTCGGTTCAGAATTTTGTGGGATAACGGTGCGGCTCAGGGTTCAGGCGCTTTAAAGGCTAGGCTGCCCAGTAGTACCCTTATTCCCTTTTTGGGGGGGTTTAGGTTCCCTGATTAAACCCCTTTAAGCAAAAAAAGGGCACCCTTTTTGAGCCTAGGTTACTGGGCAGCCTAGAAGGTGGTTTAGGAGTCCATTTAGGAGCTTCAGGGTTCAAGGGAAGTTGGGGGTTTAGAGTTTAGGGTTTTGGGGGTTTAGGGCTTTTTTAGGCCTTTCGCTGTGGGCTTGGTCAAGACAAGTATGGTGAAGACCTTGAGAGCTGCATCGAGCCAAGATACAAAATCTGGTGGAGCACGCTTTTCGCCCTGCACTCCTTTGCAGAGACTTGGGCCCGAACATGAGACCAACGCCCTCGAACCTAAATCTCATGCCCTCAACTCTCAGCCGAAACCCCCAGCCCCTAAACCCTAAACCCCCCCCAAACCCCTAGACTCTAAACCCCAAACCCCTAAGCCCTAACCCGACACCCCCTAATCCTAAGCCCCAAAAACCTTAGGCTCCAGTTCAGCGCGTGGCCTTTTGTTTAGAGTTGCGGTCGTTGGTACAAGTCTCTGGAGATGCCCAAAACCTCTCAACAGGGTTTAGGGTTTAGGGTTTAGGGTTTAGGCCTGGAAACCTGAAGCCCTGAAGCCCTGGAACCCTTAAACCCTTAAACCCTGAAGCACCAAAAAACCCCTCAACCCCCTAAAACCCCCTAAGCCCTAAAACCCCTAAACCCAAAGCCACGACATTTTGAGAAGCTGTGGGGACTTTAACCCTAAACCCTGAACCCTGAACCCTGAACCCTTGACCCTAAACCCTAAACCCTACCTAAGCCCCAAACCCCAAACCCCAAACCCCAAACCCCAAACCCCAAACCCCAAACCCCAAACCCCAAACCCCAAACCCCAAACCCCAAACCCCAAACCCCAACCCCAAACCCCCAACCCCAAACCCCAAACCCCAAACCCCAAACCCCAAACCCCAAACCCCAAACCCTAAACCCTAAACCCTAAACCCTAACCCTAAACCCTAAACCCTAAACCCTAAACCCTAAACCCTAAACCCTAAACCCTAAACCCCCAAACAGTACCCCAAGCAGAAACCCCGACATGTTGAGAAGCTTGGAGACTTGGAGCCTTGGGGGGTGGTAGGCTTGATGCTGGACGAGCCCGGCGGTGACGAGGCAGCCGAGTCGGCTGAGGCGCCAGCCCTAAACCCAAAAACCGTAAACCCTAACTAAACCCCTAAAACCCTCAAACCCTCAAACCCTAAAACCTAGAACCCTAGAGCCCTAGAGCCCTAGAACCCTAAAACCCTAAAACCCTAAAACCCTAAAACCCTAAAGCCCTAAAGCCCTAAAACCCTAAACCCTTAAACCCTCAAACCCTTAAGCCCTTAACTAGACTTAAAAGCCGGAAAGCCCTACTGCCCAAACCCAGTCATTGGTGCTTATCAGTCAGGCCTCCGAGCGCCGTGCCCCGCGCGAGGCGTCGAGGACGTTG